TGTGTCGTGTGGAGAGAGAGAGAGAGAGAGAGAGAGAGAGAGAGAGAGAGAGAGAGAGAGAGAGAGAGAGAGAGAGAGAAACCGGCTGTCTTCAGTAGCTGGTTTGATCAGGAAAGGTACTTGAAGCCGCTCTAAACATGCACTCATCTTCCCCTGAGACGTCGTGTGRSGGTTCTGCACCATCATCCACAACGTTTTCTAGGTCCACCATCATCACCGTCAGGCCATCCCAACCCACTTCCAGGAACATGCTGTGCATGCGCTGAATGATTTCTCTCATGGCTGGTCTCGACCCATACTCCTCTTGGACGCATTCCCAAGCCAGTCCGAATGTGTTCATCACCATCTTCTTGATCGAATCTCCAGCCACCTGATCCCACAAGCACCGATCGAGTATCGGGTACGGCATCTCCGTACTCCCGCTCTGGACGACTCCCCCTCGAAGGAAAGGCTTCACCCACTCGACGAGCGTCTGCCATCCCAACCCGGACGGAGCCGGGCCCACCACCTTCCTGCCCGTCAASAGCTCCAGAACGAGTACCCCATACGAGTACACATCGTTCTTTTCGGACAGCTCTCCTCTCAGCATGTACTCGGGCGACATATACCCGAAAGTGCCGCCGATCTGAGAGGTCAGCACGACGTGGTCATGTCCTGTGTCTAATACCCTCTCGCCGATGGCCGCTAATCCGAAATCCGCTACGACGACGTGAAGCTTCTCTCCAGATCCCTCGCCGAGCAGAATGTTGCTGCTCTTGACGTCCCGATGGATAATGGGGGGCCTGGCGGCGTCGTGAAGGTAGCCGAGCCCCTTGGCCACCTGGAAGGCGATGCTCATGCGCTCCAGAAACGTCAGCGGAGGGGATGGATCCTCGACAATTTTGTTTGTCTCCGGCGCTTTTGCATCCTTCCCAGTGATGGCCTTGGGGAACAACCGCCCGTGCAGGCTGCCTCCTCTGAAGAACGGGTACACCAAGATGCAGTGATCGCCCGCGAGGTAGTACCCGACTAGTCGTACGAGGTTAGCATGATTGAGGCCGCTGAGGGTGTTCACCTCGGCCACAAACTGGCTCCGTTTGGTGTCCGTTAGCTCGCCCGCCATCACCCTTACCGCGACCTCCTTGCCGTCGAGCGAGCCCCTGTAAACCTTCCCAAACGCTCCCTTCTCCCCAATTCTTCGACCCTCGCTGAATTTGTCCGTACATTCCGACAGGACTCTGAAAGCGAACTGCTTGACCCGCGACGGCTTAATTCCCCAGGCGTCCAACACTTCATCTTCCGGTGAAGATGACCTCGCTTGCTCACCAACTTCCAGAGGACGTGCCGGACCAGCTGGTCGGCGGCGCGCTCTCCGCCGTAGGCAAATCAAGCTGGCAAGGATTACGATGGCGACCACTGTGCCGGCCACCACAGCTGTTACCAAAACAGTGATGACAGGTCCAGATGCAGGGAGATTGCTTGGTTTTGATTCTACGGCACCTTCAGCTGCGGCGGGAATGCTTGGTTCCTCTTCTAATACACAGTCTCTGCCAGACCTGTTCAACTGCACTTCAGAAAGCATCCCGTCGTCAGAGCCCAAGTTTAAGTATGTGTCCTCCCCCACTTCAATCTGCATCAATGCCAGTCCCGTAAGTTTACCCCATGGGTAATCCATCTCGCTAAAAAAACTTCCTACTAGCTGTTCGCATTGTGTGCGGACGTCTTCACTATAAAGAGTAGTCCCTGCAGTATAAAAGAGATGACACCCGTCTCGAGTGACCACAACGTCATCCCTACGTTGCGTTGTGAGTGGGGAAAAGTCCATTAGCGCTGTGGGCCTGGTCCCCTCGACGAACGGGCGAAACCCGAACAGCTGGCTCCCATCTGTCTGCGAAAAGTAAAGGCAATTGTTCACAAAGCTTTGAGATTGGAATATGGCCTCACCAACGTAACTTCCGTCTATGAATCTATCCGGGGATTCCGAATCGCTGTCTAATTCTACATCCGACGGAAGTCCCGAGCTATCGACCCGAACATATTCGAGTCCAGGGTAACCGCCCCTATCATAAACCAGACGCTCTCCGGAAGGGTCCAAACCGATTTTGTTAATATACTCGAAGGAAAACGAGGAGGAAGAACAACGGGAGGAGTCAGAAACAGATAAGGACGTGATGCTGCCATCGTGAAAGCCAACATTGTCAGAATCGGAAACGTAGGAGGAAGGGTAGGCTACGCTCAAGATGAGATGGGTGCCATCTTTCGAAAGGGCCATCCCCATCACGGAAGCCGTCGAATTCGGCCGTTCTGCAATTCTCGACCCGTTCCGCTCTTCGTAAGACCACAAGTAGGTTAATAATGTTGATTCGTCATCCGCCGAGTCCAATCCCTGTGTTGCACTCGATAAGTTTGCTTTTCTGATCGACGTAACGCTGCTGTTTGAGCTGCCGTTTGAGCAGGTCTGCCCGAGGACATAGTACAGCCCTTTCTGAGGCGAAACCACCAGGTTCGCGATCACAGACTTACAATCCTGTGTCCGGGATGGATGTGAAGCAACGACCCGTACCGAGTTGTTGATCAAGAGTCCCGGTTCGAGTCCCCATTTGCCTTCGAACGGTGATACGAACGGAAGAGATGGCGGGGCTGCCGATGTGGGCGCCTGCAGAAGGCGCCCAACCACGTGCGCATGGGAATTCGAGATCACAGCCAACAACGAGAATCTGCGGGACAGTCCCTCGACCGGACTGTAGCCGCGGAGCATGGCAGCTAAGATCAGGAAAAAGGAGAAGAGGAATACGCGCACCATGAGGAAGCGCACGTGTCCACTTCTGATGTCACAGAATGCCGCACGGACGTTCCTTCTCTCGCGAAAACGCATGGTCTTCATCAACCAGTTAGGCGTCATCACATAGTACATGGAAGTGGGGAAAAGAAAGAAGAAAGAAAGAAAAGAAGTCTACTAAAATGAGAACACAAGAGGGGAAACCTACCCTGCGCGGGGATGGGGGACAAGTCACCACATCAAATCACATCACCATGCACACCATGCACAATCCCGAGCCGTCCCGCTATCAGTGGTGCACACATGGTAGCGATATACGAGCCGAGGGGCTGTTGTGCCCTGAGCCGTTGATTGCAAAACTGGCCCATGAGCCCTTCATTGCCACGTACCAGGGAGTGGAAGTAAACTGTTTGTAAAAAAAAAAAAAATCGTTAAAAAAAAGAAAAGCAAATTGTTGACACGAGCTGATTAACTAGGGATCCGCGTTCTTGCCGAGCGCTGTTAATTCAGGAATAAACGTTCTTCCCCGCCCGGCCGTTGATCATGGTCCGAGTGTAATGCGGCAGGTCACGGTGACGTACAAAGATTACGCCTCAGCTCCCTGCCGCGGGAAACCGGGCATGACAAGTGGCAGAGATAAGTTCTTCGTCGATACAAAATCTTTCCTGCATGACAAGTGACCAAGGCTTCTCTGCGTCAGGCCGTGCATTACTCTTACCGGCAGGGATGGACTGCGGCTTCGCATGCAACCTATCAACGAGGCTCCGACGCCGTCACAGCCTCATGGGGGAGGGGCAAGGGAACGGAGTAACCGTAACAGAGTACCCTTGTGGAAGGTACTGTGGAAAACTGGAAATGCTTCAACCTGGTCACGCGGTGGCTCATATGGCCTGGGCAGGCTGTGGTAATGTCACCTTCTATGACCCAAGTCGCACTCTTGAATGTTAGGTCTACCTGGAGTATTGCACCCTTTGGCGTGCGAACAGTCCAGGAGCTTTTTAGACCTGGGGACCCACGGTAGGGTCAGGAGGGGTCCTATGGAAATGAGTGGTCCTCTGTCTCTTTCTATCCAAAAGTAGATTGTGCTTTGATGCCAGGTTGGTCTGGCAGGTGGTGTGAAGTAGTAAAGCCTCAAATCTTGTGTTTCAGCCGGGCTTGTCTGGCTACGGACTCGAGACTCAGAACCGGGGCAAGGTCCCACTTGCGCAAATTAGGAGATTTCGGCCGTTGATCTTTGCTATCTACGGTCAGTATCTCTTAATTCGTGCAAGTGGGACCTAGCCCCCGGGGTTGAATTGTGAGGTCCTCGGCCTCTTATATGTGTTTCTTTTAATTAAAAAAAAAAAAGAAAAAGGAAGGGAAGGAAGCGGTGTAGATCAACTCTAGGAACTTTTTTTGGAGTCTTAGAGTACCGGAGCTAGACCCAATTTCTATCCAAAGTCCTTTTCCTGTCTTTTGCTGCCAACCTGCTTTTCGACCGGGCGTCCAAGCCTAAGGGCATACTCACACGGCGACCCCAAATCCGCAAAATATGAGGATTTGGGAAGGGCCTATTTGAGGTTTTGGGCATGGTTCACGTCACACTGCTGTACCTTTTCAGATAGGACAAGGTCGCGGCCGTCTGGAGAAATGGGGATTTGGTACTTGCCTGGTCACAAGGCGCCATCCACCAATTGTGCAAGAACTTTTGTGAACGAATTTTTGTCAATTTTTGAAAGAAATGCAAAAAAAAAAAAAGGGAATTTGTGGTCACCTCCAGAGGTGACCGCAAAATCCCTTGCCCCAGGCCGCTCACAAATGGGCACTGGAATAGTACATTTGCGAATTTGGTAGATCCGTGTGACCGGCATTTTCCCCTTTTTTTTGGGATTTTGGGATTATAGGTCCCCGTGTGAGTATGCCCTAAGCCTTCGAGTGACAATTCTCACTTTTTTTTTTTTTTTTTTTTTTTTAATTTGAAAACGAGCAAAAGAGGCCGGGGACCTCACATCTCCACCCGGTGTTATCCCGGCAGCATCAGCCGGTTTCGCTTACAGCCCAAGGCTGAGACTACTTGAATCATCAGACTTTATCCAGCCTATGCTCCTTGTCTAAACTACAATCCATGAGTTAACTATGCTAATATAGCCAATCCGAATAGAAGAGCAACCCAGGCATATAAAAAATTTAGCAGACAACACTACAGATTCTTCTAGACTTCCTCCCTAGATGTGAACACTCGTTAACCTATCAACACTGATTGGACTGTGGCCTAACAGCGGCCTGAATCATAAAGCTGGTGCAAAAGGAGCCTATTACAGCGGCTCCTATAGCATCATCCTTCTCTCAGTAACCAGTCGGCAAAGATCTTTTTTTTTTTTTTTTTTTTTTGAAGGCCCTTGTGCAAGACCTCTATCCTGGTGGTGGTAGGAGAACCACCGGGATTGAGGCTTTGCCTAGCGGGCCGCTCACCTGCTGGAAACCGGGTCCAGAGTCCCTTAAAGTACATCTTTGCAAAACAACACATCAATGCAGTGATGCCAATGTGCTGGAAACCGGGTCCAGCGTCCCATAATCAATCTACTCTTCCCTACCTAGCCTGCCCCACAGTCCGGTATTGGGGGCGAGGGGCACCGGGGGGCACCAGTGGAGTCTCCCTCCCTCCCTCCCCTAGCCTCAGCCAACCACCTATTATCCTCTGCTATCCTCTTGGCGCCTATTGTGTCTGGCACATCTGTAATAGCAAGTGTTTGCAAGTGTTTGGAAACAACTGAAACAAACTTGGAACAACTGGAGCAACTGCAAAAAACTGGAAGGACTGGAAAAAACAAAGAGCAATGAAAGAGCGAAGAGCAACAGAAAACAGGCTGAAAAACCAGGCTGAACTAAGCTGAACCAGGCTGCTCTGAGCTGCACTGAAATCTGCTGCAGTACAGGCTGGAAGGACTGGAAGAGCAACAAAGAGCAACAAAGAGCAACAGAAAACAGGCTGAGAAACCAGGCTGAACTAGGCTGCTCTGAGCTGCGCTGACCTCCCTCCCTCCCCTAGCCTCAGCTAACCAAAACAAAGGGCACTCGAAGAGCGACAGAAAACAGGCTGAAAACCAGGCTTCTCTGAGCTGTGCTGAACTCTGTTTCACAGCTGAAGTATTCTGAGACTTTCTGGACGCTTCTCAGTCTGAGCCTATGCAGGCGGCAAGGTTTCTGCTAAGGACAGTGGATGGGGTGGGAATGGATCTGCGAAGTCCTGGGCGGGACGTAACAGGGAGCCGGGGTCTATCTTGGTCCAGTCGTGAAAGATCAACTGATAGTCCCTTATTATTTCTGCCTGGGGTTCCCCTCGTGCTTCTCTCTCTGTCCGGCGACCGGTCCACTTTACTGTTGCCACCCATTCCTCCCTTCCCCCCCCAGCCAATCCATGCAGAAGGTAGCGATGATCCGGTTCATGTCTCCCCAGGAGGACGTTTGGTCGAGCTTGTCTTTAGTTTTCTTCCATTGTGCCGCCAGCTCATAATGAATCAATGTCCGAATTTGATCCATCGCCTCTCCGTCCTCCACCCATGCTCCCTCTAACTCCAAACAACATCTTCTCCACCATATAGTCCATAGCACACTCCGTCTACCCAGATTGAACATGTTCTCCTCAAATGTCTTCCCCCCTATTGGAGGGAAATGTCCCAAAAGTATGGCCCTCCACTCTCATGGCCATACTGCGCCGGGAACTATGTGTCGCCAGATTCTATCCCAACTTCTCCACAGTAGTACCGACGCGGGACATTGGAGGAAAATGTGTTCAATGGTTTCGGCCCGTCTCCCCCCAGGGTAACTTTGGAGACATCGATGACACCATGGCAGTGCCTTCCCTTGTTGCTCCAGGTGGGTGTGGTCTATCAGCCAATCCTTAGTTGGTAGACACCTGTGTTCTACTTGCCACTGGAGGGCGGAAATTTTGGTGGGTCTTTTGTTGTGCTGAGCAAACCAGCGTATGGGCTTCAGTAGATGGCGATCCACATTGAGGTGGCGGTACCATCTATCTTCTATACGATCCCGAAGTCTCCATTTCGGTCTGAGCATACGGTAGGCCTTGGATTTTAAGTTTCGTAGTGTCAGTGTTTTTGCCTCCCCCTTCCTGGGTGGAATGTTCATGGTCCACCGCCACTCCTCAGGGTCCAGGGGGAGGTCTTCGATTGGGACCATTGGGTGGTACACCCTCTGGTGACTTCCATCAGTAATGACCCTGATGCGATACACCTCATTCTGCTTCTTCCAAATGAAGGGTTGGTGGTTGCACCTTAGTCCATCATCGTTTAGAATGGAGAAGACTTCAACTAGTATATGTGATTAATTAGCTAGGTGCACATCCCCTACATCCCCCTCGTGGTCAGGTAGCCCCACCCAATCATCTTCTCTTGCACCGGGGCCTTTCCTGAGGGTAATGTACCAGTGGAGAGGGAAGTTGTCAATCAACTCGTTGAGTGCTCTCTCAGTGAAGTGGCAGTATCGCAGGGTTGCTCTTATCCTGTCCGTGCTTTTCCAATTTCTTTCCTCTGCATCCCAGAGATCCCCAACCCTTCAGATCTCGTGTTTCACCCACCCTTTCCATGGGGAATCTGAAGCGCATCATATCCGCCCTCCCGGGTCCATTATTAATCGGTTGCCGAATAAGGGCTGCCTAAATATTTCTTCCCACCTCTCAAGCGCGGGTCGGTCAGGGGGCGGGAGCTTCCTGCATGTACGAATGAGGCGTACCCAGTATTTGTCCGTGGGGTCACCATTCCTGTACTTCTTGGGTATCCTCCAGTACCTGTCTTCCAACCATATGCGGGGGTCAATTTCCGGTGGAGATTCTGGAGCGAGGTCTGAAATCTGTGTCAGGTCGAGGGGAACCCATGGCGACG